ATAAGCGCACCAACGTGCCTACCGTCCCTGTCCTATTGTTTCTTTTATTTTTCTTATATGTATCCATGTATTCATAACTATGTTTTACTTATACCTATTATCTTGTAAGCAATTGACAAACCAAATAAAATAAATAAATAAATAAACTTCTTCCATCAAAACGACACTAGAGTGCACTGTACACCAGAACAATTAGACAGAAGGACAGTTTTTCCCCGAACGCCATCACTCCACAACACTGTCAACTTATTTACTAAGATTGTATTACTATTCTTCCTCTTATCCTTCCTAGTACCTATCTGTTCCCACTATAATCATGTTGCTTTTATCTTTACAATTTATATTGTTTTAATTTGTTTCCTAGTATGATTTGATTACTTATTAGTAACCCATGACTATCACTAAGTGTTGTATCTTATGATTCTTGATGAATGTATTTTTTTCATTTATGTACACTGAGAGCATATGCACAAAGACAAAGTCCAATCACATTTGGCCAATAAAGAATTCTATTCTATTCTATTCTATTCTATTCTATTCTATTCTATTCTATTCTATTCTATTCTATTCTATTCTATTCTATTCTTTGTTTAATTTTCCTTGCCACATTACTTTTCATATTTTAAAATCATATTCATACCTTTATAACCTCTTTCCTCTGTATCAGTCTATCCCTTGCTTTGTTTTATTTTGAAATTCTGGTTCTTATTTACCACCTAATTACTATATGATTTCTTGTAAGTCTTCCATTTCATACTCCACCTAATTTATTAGTCTTTGGCAACAGTATTCATTGCTCACGTTATCTATTTGATACTCTACATGTTTGATATTCTTGCTCCTTTAGCAAGGCAATTTATTTTGATACTTCCAAATGTTTAAGATGAAAAAGATAAAAATAATTTACTTGGGTTTCTCAAAAAGAAAGCTTTCAAAGGTACTAATTTCACAGCACTTTCAAAACAAAGAGTGCCAGATTTCTTCCCCCCTCTCGATAAATTGGTTCTTGGTTATAGTGATATGACGAGTTGACTATTATGGCTGAACATTCTGAGAATAATAATCCCAAACTATCTGGATGGCAGATTGAGGAAAACTAGTTTCACTGATTTCTGGTTTGCTATGTCAGTTGTGGCTTATATTTTAGGGTAATGTTTTGATGGTAGAACTGTTTTCAATTTCAAAATTGGACACATAAATTGCACACACAATCATATTCAGTTTCTTAGAAAACAAAAATCAGTACCAACACAGAACAGTTTATATCAACAATGGAGGCTATTTAATGCTCTCCTCTATTTAATATCTCTTCAAATGATGATACAATGGCTTATTAATCTCTTTCATTTGTCTTGAAGTAGTATTATATTTTTTTAACTCAAGAAGAGTAATCTTCTTATTTCTTTCTTCTGTATAGGCTGGCATGGCCTTGACATATGACCCTACAGCTACTATACATAATGGGTGAGTAATATATTCTTTACTGTTTTTAATGGCATTGTGATATTTTCTAAAGCATTTTAAATTGTTAGCACAATTTCAAAACAACTCAAGTGGTATTATTTGAGACAACTTAAATATGCATTAAGCAGGAAAAATCATTTCCCCTCATTTATTTCTAGACTATTAATTATGAATTGGGAATGATTGAATTGAATTTTAAAAATGATTTGCTTCAATTTTAATATTCTCTAAAGCTAACTTATTGACACTGATCAAGTTGTTCAGTGAGGCAGGCTATGAATAGGAGATAGGCATGTTTTAAAGAATCTTGAATAAGGCAAACAGTTCTATTCATTTATCTATTCATCATGTATAAATGCTATTTATATCTCACAGTGCAATACTCATTTTATTCCTACAACAAGTATAGGTAAACAGAACTGAGAGGTAATTGAATGGGCCAGTGTAATTTGTGAAATCCACAGTTGGGTTTAAATATGAATCTCCCTGCTCCAAGATCAACAACTCAACCATTAGACTAGTCTTTCTCTTCAGAGAATAGTTACTAGACTATTACTGAATAATGTGAATATCAAAAAGTTACCTTATTTTTGTTTGTTTAGTAATTTCAGGCAGATGCTGTACTTGACGATGTTTTGGAATCAGAAATGGGGCAAGGTTATTCCAGAATGGCTCACATAGCATATTACACAAATTTTATTTTGCTTCTCTTCCACTTGGTACATCTTATGTTTTTCAGGAGAGATAGACTTTGTGTAGAAAAATATCCAATATTTCTAAAATAAACAAACAATCAGTTGCATCCCCCCTTCCCCTGCAAGCCATTCAAAAGTGAGCAAGACAATTGGTTGAAAAAACAACTATTTAGAAGTAATTCTAACAACATTCAGCAGAGCCCTAGCTGCCCTCTTCCTTGGCAGGGTGAGGCTTGGAGCATTCGGTGGCGCAGTGGTTAGAGTGCAGTACTGCAAGCTACTCCCACTGCAATTTGGCAGATTGAATCCCACCAGGCTCAAGGTTGACTCAGCCTTCCATCCTTCCGAGCAGTGGTCGTATTCAGCTGGTTCACACCGGATCGGGCGAACCGGTAGCAAGAATTTGGTGCAGGTTGCCAAACCGGTAGTAAGTTCTGGCTGGCCATGCCCCCCCACCCGGTCACCCTCCTGCCCGATGCTCACTCACCCCGCCCACCCGCCTGACATTTGCTTAAGGTGTTTCTTTCTTTTTTTTCTCTACCGATAATCAGCTGTAGATAAGATCAGCTGTGCCGGGATTCCCCTTGCTGAGGCCCAGGAAGGCAAAAAATGGAGGGAGGAGCTCAGCTCACCTCCATTTTTTGCCTTCCAGAGCCCCAGAGGAGCCTTAGGGAGCAAAAACATTCCCTCAGAGGCACTTCTGAGACTAGGAAGCTCCCAAAATGGAGTTTGGAGGGATGCTGCATGCCCCTCCCATGCTCTGTTCCTTTTCTTCCTGAGCCCCAGAGGAGCCTTAGGGGAGCAAAAACACCCCCACAGAGGCTCCTCTGTGGCTAAGAAGCTCCCCAAAATGGGTGGGGGCTGAAAAAAATCCATGCCCACCCAGTCACATGGCCACGCCCATCAAGCCACACCCACAGAACCGGTAGTAAAGGTTTTTGAATCCCATCACTGCCTCCCATGGTCTGTTCCTTTTCTTCCTGAGCCCCAGAGGAGCCTGAGGGGAGCAAAAACACCCCCCAGAGGCTCCTCTGTGGTAAGAAGCTCCCAAAAATGTGTAGGGGCTGCAAAAAAAGCCACGCCCACCCAGTCACATGGCCATGCCCACAGAACCAGTAGTAAAAGTTTTTGAATCCCACCATTGCTTCCGAGGTGGGTAAAATGAAGACCCAAATTGTTGGGGGCAATATGCTGACTTTGTAAACTGCTTTGAGAGGGCTGTAAAGCACTATATAAAGCAGTATATAAGTCTAAGTGCTATTGCTATTGCTATTCAGCCTTTAGTTGGGGCTCCCAGCATGGCAACAGACGAGAGCATTGGGTGAGCCCTGCTTTGCAGGATGAAGCAGGCCGATGTAATTGCAAGTCCGGCCCCGGCTATGACAAGGAGTAGCGATTGCATCTAGGCCCAGGGGCTGAGAAAAAGGAACAGGTGTTAAGCCCCAAGTAACATGTCCCAAAAATAAAGTCCATGGAACCCATTTTCTATTTCAAGTCCATTTATTAGGAACACATTAAATTGGCACAGACTTGATGTAATTCCGACTCTGAACCGGATCTGGAATTACACCCAATAAAATAAAAAGTGTGAAGCATTCTCCCTGAGTCACAATCTGCAATCACTTCTTGGTTCCATAGTCCCACAACTCCAAACTCCACCTTCATCTAGCTGCAGGCATCTTGAGCCGTTCTCACGGGAAAGGAATGCCACCTAGACATAACATTCCCCCTTTATCTCTACAACCCCCCTGGGCGAACCTGAAGTATCACTAAATTCAATTACTATAAATCTAAAAGCTAATAGAAAAAGAAATATTAAGGCTAATATAAAGTATGGCTACACATATGTCATCTTCAGGGTCGACAACAGGAGGGGTGTGGTGGCTGGGCTGCATTCTGGCCTATTGCATTTGGGTTTTTGCTTTGGTTACAGGCATATAGCCTGACCATTGCTGAAATGCAAGAGGGTTTCTCTATCAACAGGGTTTGGGAGACTGAAGTCCTCCATTTTTGTGACCATGCAGTTCTAAAATTGATGGGCTGCTGCTAGGGAGGGGAATCAATATAGGTCAAAACAAGCATTGTCCACCACAGTTTATTATGTGCCAAGTTTTCCTTGGATTTTCCTATCTCTTCTGACTATTAAAATCACATTGGCAAGGTCTGTACCAAACACCATGCGGCAGTATTACTTGGTCTGTTGTGTGGATGCTTGTGTGTTTTTAGGAGGCAGGGAATTTTGGTGGGTGGGGAGGTGTTTGGGGATTATGTTATGTGAAATTCGTTGTATGTGTACTGTGTATATATGAGGGCTATCCAAAAATTTTGTTTTTGCATGACAATGCCTGACCACACACAGCAAATCATACTTGAGAAGTCCTGAATGCTTTCAAGTGGGAGATTTTTCCTCATCCGCCCTACAGCCCCGATCTTACACCAAGCAACTACCACTTGTTTCCGAGGATGAAGAGCTGGCTTGGAAAAAAAAAATTGAGCTTAACTTTCCTCTACGCTTATTCTGAATTGCTTTTCTTAGTTTTTCAATTTTTCAATTAAAATTTCAATCGGTTTATGGTTTTTTGCCAACAAAAACCTTATCACTGATCGCACCTCACAACTCGCGGGATTTTCAATTGCAGCACACATTTCAAACGTTTGCTGTGACATAACGGGCAACGATACGAACCTCCCACTAGCATGACTAGATGCAGACTGAGCGGCAGACGCACAGACCAAAGATGGCCACGCTAGCTCCACCCCTTCTTGCTACAGACGAAAACGTAATCTATTTTGTGGATACATACAATGACAATAAAGAATTCAATTCAATTCAAACTAGTCAGCCAGATTTTAGCCTAACCTGTAGTGCAATACCAGGCCACATTCTAGAGGTAAGAGCTGCAAAATTGCTCCATTATCTACTCTTGCCTTTAACAGCAATAACTACGTTCTTTGATGTATTTGCTAGCACCCTTTATGCTGTGAACTTCTCTTTCCGTCTTGGGGAAAGAATTCAGAAGTGCTAGATTTATTTTTCCTGCTAATTACGGTATACTTTGTGGGTTTTTTAAGAAGCTGTGAGAAAAAAATGTGCCTGAAAATTAAAGGATGTATGGATTGAGTTGTGAGACAGGAAAGGGAATTACATGGACTTGTGTACTTCCAATTGCTGACAAATGAGAGACTAATGTTCTAACCTGACACCTGCATGCTCTCAGGTCCCAAAGATTATTTTCATTCTTCATAGGCCAGTATTGTGAATTAACTAAGTTCTTCTGGATTTTGATTTTAAGGTGAGCTATAGAGGCCATTGATCTTCTTAAATGGATAATAATAAAATAATAACTGAAGGCTCAAGGGGAAGGCAGATTAGAAAGACCTTTTGGAGTCTTCAATTCCCTTCATGTTAAGAGTTCCTTAATAAGGTTTGCTCTTCCTTCCTAAACCAATAATCAATTTTCAGATTTTTTTACAGAAAACATGTGAAACATGCTGTAGTTAGCGATTTAATTGTTTTCTTTTTGCCTATGTTTTAATTTGCATAATGTATGTTTAATCGAGGGGGCTTGGAAAGGTTGAAGTGGCCAGTATGGAGACTGCATCTTGCCTTCCAGATGTGTCTTCCCTGCAGATTTCTGGAGACGAGACTGTGACAGGGGAGCTGCATGATGGAAGACTTCCCCAACAAGCCTGCATCCTTATTATGCATGATTGGAAACAGGGATTCCCTTTTGGGAAGAGCCAGCCTTCCTTGTTGCTTCCCTGCCTCCTCCACTTGCTCTCCAGAGATCTGTCAAGGCAGAAGTTGGACTCAGAGGAAATTCCCTCCTGCAAACTTTCTCCTTTGTGCTTCCATACGCAGCAGTGTCATCCTCCACCTCCTGCTTTGCTGGGAGCAGGCACCAGACAGGAAAATGCCAATGATGTCTGGCATTGGGATGAGAAAGTCTTTGGCGTGCTGTGCACATGCATGCACACACCCCATTCCAAGCTTGGAGACTTTTATCCACATCTGAGCTTACAAACTGTCAATCATGACTGGACTTGGGGAAAAGGGCCCTCTCCTTCCTCTGTGGAAAAAAGTCTGCAAATTTGGAATGGTGTGTGTGTGTGTGTGTGTGTGTGTGTGTGTGTGTGTGTGTGCATGCACATGTGCGTGTGCACGTGCACACATGCATGCACACACACACACACATGGGCATGCACTTGGCTGCAAGCAGTTTGGGGAAGGGAGGAGCTTGTGGGACACCAAATTGTCCCGACATCATGTTAACCCATGCAAGTTGTTTCATCCCAACCCAGCTG